GACAGGGTCTCACTATGTAGTTGAGACTGACCTGGAACTCACTATGTAGCCCAGGCTGGTCTCAACTCACAGCGATCCTCCTGCCTCAGCCTCCCAAGTGCTGGGATTACAGGCATGCGCCACCACGCCCAGCTCACATTTAAAAATTTTTAAAGTTTAAACAAAATTTGTTTTAAACCAATAACATAAAAAATAAAAATTGTACTTCATGGAATATTGTGCAGTATTTCAGTACATGTATAGATTGTGTAATGTTCAGATCAGGATAAACATTTATCTGCTCAGACATGTATTATTTCTTGATGCTGAAAACACTCAAATTCCTGTCCTCTGGCTTCATAATATGTAGTACATTGTGTAGTTACCCTGTTGTGCAGTAGTACACTGGCACTTGTTCCATCTTACTGTAATTTAGTACTCTCTGAGCTGCTCTCCCCATCCTGCTTCTTCCCTGTGGTCTCCAGTTTCTGGGAATCACCATGCTACTACTCTCAGCTTCTCTGACATCCACGTTTTTACACAGTGCATATCTTTTTGTACCTGGCTAATTTCACTTAAAGATCACAAGTTTCATCCGCATGGTCACAAATGATGAGATTTTGGTCTTTATGACTGAGTAATATTCCATTGTGTATATGTACTACCTTTTCTTTGTCAGCTGATGGGTACTTAGTTATATTTCTTGGTTATTATGAATAGTACTGTGGTAAACATGGAGTGCTCATGCTTCAATATACTAATTTCCTTTGGATGGACATATGTAAATATTTACTGTGTTTATATGGAGTAGGATTGCTGAATCATATGTAGTTCTGTTTTGAGTTTTTGAGACACTGCCACACTGTTTTATAATGATTGTACTAATTTGCATTCCCATCAGTAAGTAGTATGCTAGGGTTTCCCCCCTTTTTACATCCTGAACAGCACTGTTATAACCAGTCTTATAAAATCATAAACATTCTCACTGGAGTAAGGGGTTATCTTACTGTGGTTTAATTTGTATTTCCTTGATGATTACTGATACTCAGCATTTTTTCATATAATCCGTAGGCTATTCTTGTGTCTTTTGTTGTTGTTGTTTTATTGTGTGTGTGTGTGTGTGTGTGTGTGTGTGTGTGTGGTTTGTTGTTTGTTTAACTCACTATATAGCCCAGGCTGGCCTTGAACGTGCAGTGATCCTCCTGCCTTAGCCTTCTGTGTGCCAGAATTACAGGCATTCACCACCACACCTGCTTGTATGTCTTCTTTTAAGAACTATTTAGATCTGTTGCCACCCCTCCCAGTGGTGGGATTACAAGTGTATGTCACTACACCCAACATTTTAGTGTATTTTGAAGTAAAATGATTAAAATGCCTACTGCTTTGTTCTTTTTGCTGAAGATTGCTTTGACTATTCAGGGTTTCTTGTGGTTCCATACAGATTTTAGGATTTAGTCCCTAGTACTGTGGAGATTGTCGTTGATATTTTTATCAGAATTGCATTGAGTTCTTTATGTGTTAAAAGGAAAGCTTTGGGTAATATGGCTATTTTAATAGCATTGATTCTTTGAATCCAGGAATATGACATCCCTTTCCATTTTTGTGTCTTTTTTAATCAATTATTTTATAATTTTCATTGCAGAGCTCATTCACCTCTGTCCTGTGTTTTAATATTTAGTTTTTGTAAATGGGATTATTTTCTTGATTTCTATTTCAGATAATTGATTATTGGTATATAGCAGTGCTACTGATACTTGATTGTTGATTTTGTATCCTGAAGCTTTGCTAAATATATGCATTTCTAAAAGTTTTTGGTGGCATCGGAGGTTCTCTTTATATACGATCATGTCATCTGCAAATCGTGATAGTTTGACTTGCTCTTTTCCAGTTTGAAAACCTTGTTTCTTTTTCTTGTTGGTTGTTGTGGCTGTGATTTCCAGTGCTGTGTGGTGTAAAAGTGGTGAAAGTGAGCATTTTTGTCACTAACAGATCTTAGAGAGAAAGCGGACTACATTTTCCCAGAGTATCCCTAAGAAATATCTTAGAAGGGTAATGCTGATTTTATGAGCGGTGGCAGTTATTAGCCTCTTTTTTTCCCAGAAACAGCAACAAGTTGCGCCATCATTCTTTTTTACTAGATTAGTCTTTATGTCATAGTTTATTTTGCTCGTTATTTACTATTAGAAGAAAAACTGTGTTTAAGCTTTCTGCTAAGCAAGGAGAAACACTACATTTAGTTTGTTGGCCATTGTATGTTTGGGGCCGCACATGTTAGTGTAGTTCCAGAGTTACTCATTCTGTTCTTTCTCCCAAGGCACTATGCCTGCTGAGGAGATCCTTGATTACCGAGGGTGGAGAAAATCCGCGCACCAGTAAGGAAGCTGTTGTAGAGAAACTGGGCTGATGGGCCCCTTGAGAGAGTAGAAGTACAAGGAAGGAGAAACACCAAACATGAGTTTTTTTTTTGTTCTTTTTGTTTTTTAAATCATCCGGTTGAGTTGAAGGGAAGGCATCTTCTGGGATGGTAATGAAGAATAAATTTTAGGGGGAAAATCAGTCGTGTTTGGTATATATTATGTTTGAGACAACATAATATATAACAAGTAGAGGCAGTGAGTACATAATTGGTTACAGAACAACTCCAGTTCACTTGTACCATCAGCTGAATTTCTTGATACTAAATATAAAAATTTGCATTTTCATTGTTTTGTTTCTGCACATTTTCCACTATGATTCTGTCATCACTTGCATTACTTGTCCCTCACAGATTTGATTATATGGCCTCAGAAAAAGTTGTATATAAAATTTATTTATGACAGTGAAACCTGGCATCAGTTCATCTGACCTTTTAGGTGAAGAGCTTGAGTTGTTTTGGATAACAAATATAAAGCTTTGAATGTTTTGGGTATTTTTTATTTTGGGGGACAGGGTCTTGCTATGTAGTCAATGCTGGCCTTGAACTCCTGATGATCCTTCTGCCTCAGCCTTCCAAGTGCTGAGATTACAGGTGTATGCTGCCACACCCAGCACTGGAATTTTTTTTTTTTTTCTTAAATGAAATTGTATGTTGTTACCTATGTTGGCTAGCACTAAAAGGGTTATGACAAAAAAATATGTCCCTTATTTCCCCCTGTTCACTTATATTCCAGCTCTAGACTGAAGCAACTGCAATCCTCTTAACTACATTTTCTGGTTTTTGCCTTGTTTAATAATATTTTGCTATTTCTTGATACACACCTCAGACATTTATTGGCTTTTGGTTGCTATCAAGGAGACTTAAAATTTCCTCCTCATTTTTCCTGTTTTCCAAGTTTTGATGAACTCGCACTGATTATTTGCTTTTTTATAACTATGTATATATTGTTCACTATTACGCCTAATGTCCCTTCAAATCCACATGCTATTTCTTAAACAAGCTTTTGTTTTCCTTGCAGTGTACTTCATAGTTGTCAGTTGCCTGGTTTTCTGGCTTTTGGAAAAGCCTTAAAAATGTCATCTCTTGGGACAGCTGGGATCGAACACAGGACCTTGCACTTGTGAGGCAGGCACGTTGCACTGAGCTAAATCCCCAACCCTGAAATGTCATCTTTCTCACACTTTTGATAACTTGGCTGGACATAGGGTTAGGGATTGGGACTCAATTTTCACTCAAAGTTTTGAAGGCTGTGTATTTGTTTTCTGGCTTTCAACAGTTTTTCATTATTTTCAGAAAAAATTCAGTGTCATTCTGATTATAGATCCTTTTCATGTTACTTTCTCCTTTCCTGGAAGGTTTTAAGTACTTTTTTATTCCCTTGCTTTGAAATTTCACGATTATGTGCCATGGTATGGGTCTTTTTTCTGGTCATTTGTACGGACTTGTTTGACTTTTTAAACTTAGATTTTTTTTCTTCACTAAAATAAAATGTCTTAAAATATAATTTTTATGTCTCCTGTTTTTTATTTTACTTTCTATAACACTTAGTTTTATTTATTTATTTTTTAGCGAGCCTATGAATTTTCTTAATCTGTGTTTGCAGTCCCCCCCCTTAAAGCTTTTCCTTTTGTGTTTTTAAGTAGCATCTTAGTGGGACTTTGAAGAATATGGAAATAACGTCCTGTTTTGTTTAACAAAATAAAATATTTAATATTGAGGGCTGAAGATGTGGTTCAGCACTGGAGCTTATGCCTAACATTCGTGAGGCCCTGGGTTCAATCCTCAGTACCTTGTGTGTGGGGGGGGTTAACCTTGAATTTTAAATTTTTGCATTTCTTGCTAAACACATTTTTCTTTTTTTGTTTTGATAGAGATGCTATGAACACAAGCAGTATAGAAATGGATTGAAATTCTGTAAGCAGATTCTTTCTAATCCCAAGTTTGCAGAACATGGAGGTGAGTAGTACACTTCTGCGTGACCAGAGAAGGCTTCCTGCACCCCTGCCGGCCTCTCTACCTGGGCTGTGTTACTCACCTGTACTTTCTAAAATGAGAAACATTTTTTCTTTTCTAAAAACTTAGTATTTCCTACAACTCTCCTTTAATTTGTTGATTGCAAATGACATATTTTTGACATTTTAAAAAACTTATTTATTAGTAATCTCAGTCATTTTAAAATTTATAAAGCCAGAAATGTAGGTAGTTTATGTGTTTTAATCAAAAGAGGAATTTAACCTTCATTTAACTTAGCTTCACAGAAATAAATTCTGTTTTCAGGAAACATTTTCATGTTTTAAAAGAGTAATTACATGAGGTCATTCCATGTAATTCACCTAAGAACAGTTAATTATCCATGATTGGCATTTGAGTTACTAGATTATCTTGCTTGCAGATGTGCATGTATTTTGAATGTTTTGTCTAAAAGAATCTAGGCATGCTTCCAAGAATGGAATCTAGAAATCTCTGCTACTTGGTTTGCCAGTTTTAACCACTTAACAGTTTACTCAAGTGTCGCTCAGGCAGATGCCATTCTAACCAGTCGATTCTTGTATGGGATAATTTTGGTGTAATTGTCATTTTTATGTTTCCTATTATTTTATAAAAATCAATGAAAAAAGTACTTAAATTTTGGTCAACCTGTATGTAAATAATTGGACTGGTGAGTGGTTAAAACATTTTAATTCTGTATAAACTTGGAAATGTCCCAGTAAGCTCCTTGAAATGAAATACTTAATACTTAGCATAGACCAGCTCTTATTTTGAGGTTATGGTTAATTTTTGTTATTGGTAACTATTTTTATTTTTAATGTTTCATTTATTTTACTTTTTTTTCTTTGTTATTAAAAATAGAAACCCTGGCAATGAAAGGATTAACATTGAACTGTTTGGGAAAAAAGGAAGAAGCTTATGAATTGGTTCGTAGAGGCTTGAGAAATGACTTGAAGAGTCATGTGTGTATCCTTTTGAAATATGTTTGTAGGTATTGTGTGGGGTGTTTTAAGCCAAGGAGCAGTTTAACAGAAATACATTTTGTTTGTTTGTTTGTTTATCTGTTTGGTACCAGGGATCAAATTCAGGACCTTGCACTTACAAGGCAGGCACAGCGCCACTGAGCTAAATCCCCAGTCCTTTTGTTGGTTTTTTGAGACAGAGTCTCTCTATGTAGCCCAGCCTGGCCTCAAACTCTCAGTGATCCTCCTGCTTCTACTTCCTGGGTACTGGGATCACAGGTGTGCACCCAGGTGTACACTGCCATGCCCAGCAACAGTACAAAATTTTAACTCCCTCTTTTGTGCAACTACAGTGGAAATTACTTTTCTTGAAGAGCTGCTGCCTTTATTCAGTGAACATTTTTATATGCTACCATGTTTTTTTTGTTGTTTATTTTTTTGTTTTGTTTTTTGAGGCAGTGTCTCACTATGTAGTTCAGACTGCTCTGGAATTCACTGTGTAGCCCAGGCTGGTCTTAAACTCGCAGCCATCCTCCTGCCTCAGCCTCCTGAGTGCTGGGATTACAGGCATGCGCCACCATGCCTAGTTTATGCTACCATGTTTTAACGATGTGTGTAGCTCACAGATAAGTGGGACTTGCTCTTTAAAAATGTCTGTGCCAAGCATGGTGACCCCTGCTTGTAATCTTGTCACTCTAGAGGCTGAGGCAGAAGGGTTGCTTTGAGTTCAGGGCCACTCTGGGTTGAATAGCCAGTTCAAGAGTGGCTCAGGTGGGCCGGAGGGTGTAGCTCAGCAGTTACAGCACCTGCCTGGCAAGGGAAAAGTCCCTGAGTTCAATTCCTGGTGCAAAAAGAAAAAAAAAGAGTGGTTCAGGTTACAAAGCAAGATCCTATTTCAAAAAACAAAAACAAGCCTGGTGTGGTGACAAGCCTTAGCACTCAAGGGTGAGACAGAAGGATTGCCTTGAGGCAAAGCCAGTCTGTGCTACATCAGGTGACCCTGTCTCCAGAAAAACAAAACACTGAAAACTCTGTTGACCCTTTAGAAAGGGAAGGGGTATTTTATGTTATAAATTTTTGTGGCTCTCTAAAATCATATTTTGAAACCTAATCACCAGTCGAATGATTTGGGGAGGTCTAGGTCCCTAGGGTAGAGACGTCACAGATGGGATTGATGCCCTTGTAAAAGAGGCCCCAGTGGTCATGTGAGGACAAAGGCAGAATGTATCATCTCTGAGGCAGAGAGCAAGTTGAACCAGGCGCTTAATGTGCTGGCACCTTGATCTTGAACTTCCTCACCTCCTGAACAGTGAACCATGCATTTCTGTTGTTTACAAATTATCTAGTTTTATGTACTTTGTCATAGTATCTTTACAGGTCTCATACAGGCATCATGCAGATTTCACATAACCAGAACTTTAGACAAGGCTGTGTAATGAGTGTACTGATTCAGAGCACAGATTTTGCAGTAGAGGCTTGGAGTGAAATGGACTTCACTTAGATTCAAAACCCAAGTCACCTTCTTTGTGCTTTTAAGGCTCAGTTTCTCTAAGTGTAAAATTGTGGGTTGCTATATTTCAAATAGTTTTTAACCAATATTTTTGTACCTATTTTGTAGGTGACTCGATTTAAGAGATTTAGAATGTGTTCACATGTTTACTGGGCCTCTGCTATCTGAACATGTGATGAGAACAGTACAGATTTTTCTTACAAAAAGCGTACAGTCCAGAACATTTTTGAGTATTAAAGCATTTTGACTAGCCAAAGAAATGTCAATCCAGAAAGTAGAAGTTTGAAAGGGTAGTGTTTCTGAGATTTTTAAAACCATTTCTCAACCATCTGGGAGGATTTTTTCAAGCTTTACTTTGTCATTTCTTTGGTATGAACAAGTTTAGTTTTAATTAATATTTATAATAATATACTATGTATTTTTAATTATATGTTCCATCCAAGACTATCTTTATTTTATTGCCTATTGAGAAGCCCAAGCCAAACCTGTTAGATTGAAGTTGAGACACAGTGTAGTGTAGGACGCCTGGCCATAGTGTAGATTTCTGGAAAAGGGAGTGGAAATATTTTTTCCTTTTAATTACATGTTTTAGAAAGATTATCTTGGTGAGATAAAATGAAGAGACCCAAGGCAGTAGGGTTGAGTTACTGTTGTAGGAATTAATTTATATCTGAAGTGAAAAAACTTGTATTAGAGGAGTGGAATAGTTTCCTGATTCATAGAATTTTCTTTTTACAGCCTGCTGTCATTTTGCTTATTTGTATCCTAATGTTCTTTAAATGTAAGAGACTATTTTGATCACCTACACCCTGATTAAGAATTTTAAGTAGTTATTTCTTTGAATTATATATATATATTTGGGTGGTACCAGGGATCGAACTCAGGACCTTGTACTTGCAAGGCAGGTGCAGTGCCACTGACCTAAATCCCAGGCCTGCTTTGGGTGAATTTTTAATTTTATATGTAGGTGAGTTGTAGGGCCTTGATACCATACTAAAAAGTACAGTCCAAAAGACTTTTAGCCAAAGAAAATATCTACATGATACGGAGCACTTACTTCATACAGCCATGAAGATATCCCATTGAGTCATCCCTGCTGGGCTTTTCTCTGTGGACTCTTTCTGTTTAATGAGACGTCTTGTGTAAGACTACAGAGTTTATACGGTAGACTTGACTTAATTTTCTCTGACTCTATGAATTGTGTTTTCTACACTATTAAATTCCCTTTTATTCATCCCTCTCCTCCTTACCCTTTTGGTACTGGGGATTGAAGCCAGGATTTTAGCACTGAGCTATATCTATTGCTAGCCCTTTTTTATTTTGAGTCAGGGTCCCACTAAATTGCCCAGGTTGGGCTCAAACTTTGAGTTCCATTGCCTCAGTCTCCCAGGGTGCTGGGATTGCAAAATTTATTCATGGTGCAGGCATGTGCCACTGTGCTCACCCCCTCCCACCTGAGTTCATAATTTTATAAATGGTTCTAGTTCTCCATGCTTCCTGGGTGATCAAGCTGCCTCAGTCTCCCAGGGTGCTAGGATTGCAAAATTTATTCATGGTGCAGGCATGTGCCGCTGTGCTCACCCCCTCCCACCTGAGTTCATAATTTTATAAATGGTTCCTGAGCTAATACCCAGCCCTGGAATAGTATGTCTTGAATGTAAGTTGTATCCTTAACTAAACTCTTTAGGTTGGCATGTATATGGCCTTCTTCAGAGGTCAGACAAGAAGTATGATGAAGCCATTAAGTGTTACAGAAATGCACTAAAATGGGATAAAGACAATCTTCAAATCTTAAGGGATCTTTCCTTACTACAAATACAGATGCGAGATCTTGAGGGTTACAGGGTAAGTAAAATAGACTTTTTTATTCTAAGAGAAAAATATGTTCTTGTGAAAATTATTTGGGTTACTGTGTAAGGTTGATTTTTTTTTTTTTTTCCTCCCCCCTGGTACCAAGGATCCAACTCAAGTTCTTGCACTTGTGAGACAGGTGGCGGAACCACTGAGCTAAATCCCTGGCTGTAGCTTCAGTTTTTGGTTTTTTGAGACAGAGTCTCACTATGTAGTTCAGACTGCTCTGGAACTCATGGTTTATCCCAGGCTGGTCTTGAACTCACAGCGATCCTCCTGCCTCAGCCTTCTGAGTGCCCAGCTGTAGCTTCAGTTTTAACCCTTAAGTCAGATTTGTATTTACTTAGTCTCTTTTTTTAAATGGTAGTACCTGCTGAGCTCCTAACTTACTGCTTAGGCACTTTGTTTTCTAAATAATTTTTGAATAATGTTTTTCCTTTGTATTATGTTTGTCATATTGTCTTTATTCTTGGAATAGATAGACCAGAAAATGAAGAATATCATAAGATTAGTTTAGAGTTGTCATTGGGTTTCTTAACAAGTATTTCTTTGCTTCTGTGAAAGTACGCACTATGAATGTTTGAACTATTTTGTCATTGTTCCTTTGCAAAATGCATACTGCTATAGGGTAAATTAATCTGATCTTTTAAAGAATTATTTATTTTAATTGTAAACCTAATAGAGTCTTTTTCCCCCTTAAAGGAAACGAGATATCAATTACTTCAGCTTCGACCAGCGCAGAGAGCATCATGGATTGGTTACGCTATTGCTTATCATTTATTAGAAGATTATGAAATGGCAGCAAAGATTTTAGGAGAATTTAGGAAAACACAACAGGTAACAACATACTAGTATATTAGGTCTGATTTTAAAACATAACTAGAAAAAATGTGTGTATACCTATTTTAAGATGGTTTCAAACTTACAGAAAAGTTGTAAGAACAGTACAAAGAACTCCACATAAACGTTTGTTTGTGTGTATTAATCCTTGATATATGTACTTTAAATGTCTGTACCTATATCTCTTTAAATTTTCTTTAAGGATTTGAGAACAATTGATTTGAGAATTTTTTTTTAAATTCATCTTTCATTTTCTTGTTTCTAAAAACAACTATAATTCTCAGTACTGTAGATACAGATCATCAAAATTAGGAAATTTAACATTGATAGACTATTATTATCTAAGGCATAGTCCATGCTAAAAAGTTACTTATGGTCCTGGTTATATGCCTTCTAGCATATCCCCCCTCTTTTGTTTTAGTATCTCATTTGAAACAATACCTTATGTGCATGTGGTCCTCTTTTCTCATCGGTCCCTTTCAGTTTAGAAGATGTTCTTTGTATTTCATGACGTTGCTGTTTTTGAACAGTGCAAGGCGGTGCTTTTGCAGAATTTCTCAATTTAAATTTGAAAGTTTCCTCATTATTAGATGAAGTTTTGCATTTTTGGCAGGAAATCATAGAATGATGCGTCTGTATTAGCTGGCTTTCCATTATTGTGGCAGAATAACTGATGTAATTCAATTTAGAGGAGGAAGCCTTTATTTTGGCTTCTGTTCCACAGGTTTCAGTCCATGATCAGCCGTGTCATTGCTGTAGGCCTGTGGCAGTGCAGAGCATCGTGACAGCCGGCAAGGCAGAGGGAAGCTACTCACCTCGTAGTAGTGAGGAGGTAGGGTGAGAAAGCCAGTCAGGAAGGGACCAGGAGCCAGGTATAGTTCCCAAGGTCACACCCTCATGATACACTCCACCTATGCCTCACCTCCTGTTTGCACCATCTCCAACTAATGTCACCAAAGACGATATCATTGGTGGATTACTCCATTGGCCAAGTTAGAGCTCTCTTGATCCAGTCACTTCTCACAAGCCCATCAGCAACCAAGTCTTCAACACAGTGAGCCCTTTTGGAGACCTATATCTAAAGCATAGCAGGGGCCTTCTTAGTTCACTGTATCAAGAGGTACATGATGTCCTTTTGTTCCATTTGATTATTATCACACCATGTGTTAAGGTTGTATCTGCAGCTACAAATTTGGTTTTGTTTTGTTTACTCTTCATATTTAATAAAGTGTCCAAGACTGAATAGACTGTTCCTCATCAAACTTTCACCACTTTTTTTAGCATTAATTGGTTATGATGCTTGCCTGTATCCATGATTACTGTGATTGATGGTTGCAAAATGGAAATTCTCTGACTCAGTCATTCCATCTAGATTTATTATTTAGAATTCTGCTGTCAATGAATTTTCCCATTTTTTTTTGTATTAAGTATGCAGGGGTTATTATTTGATTAGTTATAGGCAAACTGTCTTTACTTCATTGCTCTGTATATAGATACTTTAGAGTTTTATTTTGGGGTATGTAAATACTTTTCCAATAGGAAAACAGCATTTTTACTATTCGTTATATTTATACACAGACATCCCCTGATAAAGTGGATTATGAATATAGTGAACTACTTTTATATCAAAATCAAGTTCTTCGGGAAGCAGGTCTCTATAGAGAAGCCTTGGAACATCTTTGTACCTATGAAAAGCAGATTTGTGATAAACTTGCTGTAGAAGAAACCAAAGGTATTTTTTTAAATGTAATTCTACTTTTGAAAGCAAAGACCAAAGCTGAAAACTGAACTAATTATTGCTGACAGTTGCATGTAATTCATCTTTTTTATTATGGAAAATAATACATTGAGTAATTGTAATGTGGAAAATTACATTTAAATATAGGAAGTTCATTGCAAATAAAAATCATTTAATGAAATTACTTAATAAAGTATCCTTTTTTGTTTGTTTGTTTGTTTGTTTTTAGGGAAGAGGTCTTGTCTTACCCAGGAAGGTCTCAGGTGATTCTCTTGGGCTCAGGTGATCCTCCTTCCTCAGTTGGAAGTGTCTGAGGCTGCAGGCACATGAAACTCCCTTTTTCATGCGTCTAAACTATCTTTGCATTGAGAATATTATAGGGTTTGATCAAAACATGAGAGAATTATTTAATTTTATAAGGCAAGAAGATTAAATGTCTCAGTATTTGGCCCATTACCCAAATTTCAGTGAAAGTAGTGTGTCCTAGATTTCTTATTGCTGGTAATGTATTATTGTGAAGTCAGTCTTTACTGAGGAACATACAGGATATTCTAGAGTGTTAATCTGAATATCTTTGAGAATATATTGAGAATGTAAATTCTGGAAGGAAAGGAAACAAAATTTGTGTTCATATTTGCGGATTATGATAGGAAGAAGTGATTGAAAAGGCAATCAGTTTTTAAGAATTCCTATTTGAAATGCTTTGCTCTTGTAGATGAGGGAACTGAAATTTGCTGGTTTCACATTTCTTTGGGTCATCTGGAAGGTGAACACTGTGAAAGTGTAGAATCTGTGAACATAGTGGTAGCCATTATTTGTGAAATGAATTTTCACCATAGAATGTTGCTCCTGGCAAGAAATACTGCAAGTCTAGGGCTTCTGGGGCTCACTTGTAAACTATAAGTGTAAACTGTAAACTCTTTTTAATCATCTGCTTATAATCTGTTATTCTTTTTCTTTTTGTACTGGGAATCGAACTCACAACCTTGCATTTGTGAGTAGGTGCCATAGTGCTCAGCTAAATCCCCAGCCCTTATAATCAGTTATTCTTAAAGATAGAAGATCTGTCATGGCCATAAGTCTGGAAGAAATTTCATTCACTCGCTGGCTGCAAAGTAATTTTAATAGTGAGAAAGAATGGCAAATAGGGTCAAGTTAGATTCAGACTCAGAATTGACCGGTAATTTTTTAGTAATTTAAAAATCCTTGATTTTTAAAACATTTTCTGAGCATCTGGAGTGAAGGGGGGTAGTAAAAGGCCAAACATCAGGTCTTTATAAATGAAATTGAGAGTAGAGGAATTGAGGAAAGAATGCATAAATGACTTATAGAAGGAATTTTGCCATAAAGGAAATAAATGAGATGATGATGGGTAGACGGGGATACAGGATCAGAAAATTTCTTTTAACAAAATATTCTAACTGGGGAATGATAAAAATACAGAATATTTGACAAAGTAGGGGGTCTATGATCTAGTGCAGTAATGGTGAACCTTTTAGTGCTTTCAATGATAACAAACAGCCTACTACAGCATGTGTGCTGTAGGTTTGCCACCACTGATCTAAAGGTGAAAGGGTATATTATATAAGATCATGAATAGCTCATCTGCAGGAACAAAATGTGGTTGTATGTGTGAGCAAGTAAGTGTAGATGTCAGGAATATTTGGGAGTTGTCTTCTACTTAACCCTGTTTTTTTTTTGTTTGTTTTGTTTTGTTTTTTTTTGGTTTTGGTTTTTTGAGACAGGGTCTCACTATATAGTTGAGACTGACCTGGAACTCACTACATAGCCCAGGCTGGTCTCGAACTCACAGTGATCCTCCTGCCTCAGCCTCCCGAGTGCTGGGATTACAGGCGTGCGCCACCACGCCTGGCTTTAACCCTATTTTCTACGTGAAATAGGAAGAAACAAGGCCATCTGCTTTTCCTACAGTCCTGAATATCTACTTTGCTCCAGGTTTTGGAGACAAGTGTACACAGAGAGGGAGACTGAATAGAAATCAGTCTTCAGGAATTCTGGCGGGAAAGGGATTATTGCTGGGAATTGACGGGGAAGGATGAGATGGTGAAGATAATTGGGAAGTTTCTTGGTTGGATGAGTTAGGTAAAATGTTGACTAATTCTTCACACTACCAGTTCCCTCCACACAAAAGAGGAGGGAGAAGATTAAGTGGAGGAAATGGGAATGAGGGCCAGGGATTTAGCTCAGTGGTTCTGCCACCTGCCTTGCAAGCGCAAGGACCCGAGTTCGATCCCCGGTACCAAAAAAAAAAAAAAGAAAAGAAAAGAAAAGAAATGGGAATAAGTATAGTATGAGGTAGTAAAATTGGCAGGTTGTTCTGTTTTTCATGAAGTTGGCTTTTGGTTACTGTAGAGTGGGCTTTTCCAACATGTATTGCTGACAGTTCAGTCCTGAGTTACTGGTGATGGAGATCATTTGTGGGCTCAACATTGGAGGACGTTACATGCCAGTAGTGTCCACCACCCTTAATGTGATGATCAGAATGTCTCTAGTTACTTCCAAATGTAACCTGCTTGAAAACCACTGGAACAGATATTTAAAATATGGGTTTTTGTAGTAAGTTGCTTGCATTCAGAGTCTCAATAGGCTCTGAAAGACCCTTTTCAAGTTTACATAAAATTTTTTTTATTTTAAAATGATGAAAATAATAGGAACGTGTTACATGGAATTCTGAGAATTGAATTAGTCAACACATAGGAGCACTTAAAAGTCACTGATACATAGTAAATACACATTAAGTGATTTTCTTTTTTTTGGTACTGGAAATCGAACTTGGGACCTTGCACTTGTGAGGCAGGCATAAGTGATCATTTTAAATTACCTGGTGCAAGTAAAGGATGCAAGAGTGAAGTAGTGGTTTGAAAATAATATATTTGATGACTGAAAGTTGATTAAGGATGTGGAAAGAAATCCTGAGTGTTGTTTGAAGCTTTTATGACTTTAGGCCCTTGTATTTCCCATCCAAGTACTAACCAGGCCCGACCTTACTTAGCTTCCTAGATCAGATGAGATGGGGCACATTCAGGGTGGTATGGCCGTATACTAGGGCCCCTGTATTTCTATTGAAAACTTTTGTCTCCACTTATCTGACTTGCTGAGAAAAATGCAGCAAACAGTTGGACTGATTCAGGCTTTAAAAATTGGTAAACGGGGAAGCCAGGTTTGAGATTAATTTTGATACTTGGAATATCTAATGGCTTTTGGGGATGTGATTGGTTATGCACCCAGGGAAGACAAGCAGTGCATCTAGGAGTTGATTTTTCTTTGAGGTTGATGCAGGCTTAGTGAGACAAAAATGAGTTAGTTGATTAAGGGATGATAAGGTTAGAGTATTAAATTGGGTTGTTAGGGGCCAGGGATTTAGCTCAGTGGTTCCACCGCCTGCCTCACAAGTGCAAGGACCCAAGTTCAATTCTTGGTACCAAAAAAAAATAGGGGGGGATTGTTAAATCAAATTGTTCACAGACTATCAGGAATAATCAAAGAGAGGAGGATCGCTTGATAATAGTGTATTCAGTTAATGTGGGAATGTGGCTTGGAGTTGGACAGATTCCCTGAATAATGGAGGGTATAAAGAGGATAGCATTTTTGTGAACTTCAAAAAAAGGACACAATAAAATAATAAACAGTCTTTTTGCAGGGAGCTGGGAACGCAGGAGGATACTAGATTCATGCACTTAGTACTGCTGCTTTAAAATGAATTATAGAGAAATTTTGAGAAAGAAAATTAAAAAGTTTCTCAAATACTGTTACTTATTTTTAATCAGGGGAACTTCTCTTGCAATTGTGTCGCCTGGAAGATGCTGCTGATGTTTACAGAGGATTACAAGAGAGAAACCCTGAAAACTGGGCCTATTACAAAGGCTTAGAAAAGGCACTGAAGCCAGGTAATGCTGCTTAACACCAGATATTTTTTTGGGGGGGTGCCTGGGATCAAACTCAGGTCCTTGCACTTGCAGGCAGGAGGCAGAACCACTGAGCTAAATCCCTGACCGTTAACACCAGATTTTAATTGCTTCTCGTTTTGTTTTGTTTGTGTTGTTTTGTGTTTGTTTTGTTTTGTTTTTTGAGACAGGGTCTCACTATGTAGTTGAGACTGACCTGGAACTCACTATGTAGCCCGGGCTGGTCTCGAACTCACAGCCATCCTCCTGCCTCAGCCTCCCAAATGCTGGGATTACAAGTGTGCGCCACCACGCCCAGCATAATCGATTTTTTTTTTCCTTTTCTTTTTATTGAGTTTATTGGTACAATCTAGGTATACACTACAGTTACATTCGTTACTGGGATCCTGTACCTTTACATGACAGGGCTTGGTTCTCATTTTTTCCCGTTGTCCCTGCCCTCCCTTCACCCCCCCATAAGCACTTCTTTTAATGTTATTTTGCTGACTGTTTGAAAAGCACAGCTCAAGAACTGGTGGTTAAGAATTCAAATTTTGAATTAAAAAATGAATTGCAGGGCAGGGGATTTAGCTTAGTGGTTCTGCCGCCTGCCTTGCCAAGCACAAGGTCTTGCGTTCGATCCCTGGTACCCCCCAAAAAAAAACCACCAAAAAACCCTGCATAGCATGTTTTCACTTTATATGCCAGATTTAGCATGTTTTGAAATCTCTCTTCTACAGATTGTTAGAAATGATTGAGAACAGACTACAGAGACAGCTTTAAAGAAAAATCATGAATGTTCAGTAGCATCAAAAACATGAAAGGGAAGTTTCCACTGACAGAAATGGAAGTGTTTTCCTAGAGGAAATAAGCAAGGACGATGTGGCATGGTGACCTCCCAGGGGCACATGAGTGTAGCCAGGTGAAATGAACACCACCGTTCATTTTGTGGGAAGAGGGCTTAAATTTCCATCATTCACACTTGGATCCAGAGACTGACTGTGCTCCTCAGCATTACCACTCTACCCACAGTGGGGTCTACTTGTGAGGACAGGCTCGGAAATAGTCAGGATCTTTAGCCAAGATATCTGATTAGAGGCTTTATTCCCTTCAAGGCTGGTGGTGAGCCATTCTGGATACCATATATATATGTAGAGAAACCTCTCTGAAGATTACATTATGACAAAGTTTCTCCAACTGTTCTGGGGATAATGCCTGGGATGATGACCTTCAGTGCTAGCCACAGGGAGAATAGAGACGAAGAACTCCAAGATGAATAGAGGGAGTTGCACCTGTAAAATATGAATAATAAGGAGAAAGTACTAATTAGTAATTGGAGAAATGAAAAGCATATTTGTTGAAAAGACAATCTTAATGGGTTGAATAGAAGAGAGGCTAAAGCTGAGGAGTGTAAAAATAAGTGAAATGGAAGACTAAACTGAGGAAAGCTTTTATCATTTGCAGTGAGTAAACAAACAAAAAAAATGAGTATGGAGAAATGGAACATAGGTGATAAATCCAGAAGCTCTGAACAGATCAGAGCAGGTGAGTTACAGGGGAGAAGAGAAAAGAAAATTGTTTTACATGATCATAGGCATTTAAAATATGAAAATACTAGAAATATTCTAGAATGATTGTTGATATATTTAGGTGGTAATATTACAAATAATTTTCTTTGCAGTTTCAAATTGTCTTTTAATATAAATTTTAATTACTTTGAGAAACAATTTTCCAGAAAAATGTACAGTATATAATTGCATTTAAAAAGAATTTTTCTTTGTCTGCAGCTAATATGTTTGAGCGGCTAAAAATATATGAGGAGGCCTGGACTAAATATCCCAGGGGATTAGTGCCAAGGAGGCTGCCATTAAACTTTTTATCTGGTAAGTGAAAATAACTGCAAAGAAATGAAAATGTTGTTGTGAGTTTAGTTTCTTTTCTTAGTTTGTAAGTATGATTGTATTAGTAACTTTCCCATTGCTGGGACAAAAGACCTAACACTTGTAATTTATTTTTTTTGTTGTTGCTGTTGTTGTTTTTGAGACAAGGTCTCACTATGTAGTTGAGACTGACCTGGAACTCACTATGTAGCCCAGGCTGATCTCGAACTCATAGTGATCCTCCTGCCTCAGGCTCTTGAGTGCTGGGATTACCGGTGTGAGCCACCACAGTTTCCAGTGGATTCATTTCATGGTTGGCTGGCTACAGGGTAGTAACCAGGTCTCCTTGGAACATGACTGCAGTGGCTTCTGGGTGCTTGGATGGCTAGGCATGATAAAATGAACCCGGAGATAATCCTTGGATGACTCTTCCAGAGCCAGGAGCCCAGGGGCTCTTTTGTCTTGCTGATTTCCTAGATGCCTTTAAGCTTTCTTTCCTTTTGTTGTCCTGATGCAGAGTATTTGGCTTCTTTTTATTGCTAATCTTTTCAGCCACCATACTCTTTGGCCCCACTTTCACACATGCCTCCTTTCTGACCAGGCTTCTCTTCCTTCAACTCTGTGTTTTGTTTCTGATTCTCACTATTAATCTGGCTAAAGTCAGCCAGCAGTACCCATGCCACAGCCTAAACATTGGCCTCCTTAAAGTTTCCTGCACCAGATTAATTAGTCTGAGGACGTGGACAAAATGTAGACAGATTCTTTACCAGAATGAAACGTGAATCACCTCTAGTCTGGTTTCCGGTATAGCCTTTGTTCCCATTTGAAAACTTATGATTGTGGCCTTTATGGCCTAATTTTTGTCAGCATTCTAGTCTTCTGAGCTCCAACCAGACTCACCCATCAAACCCTGCATACAGTGTTGCAGGGCTTCTCTAGATCACATCTCCAAGCTTTTCCTGCAAATTAGTTTGAAAGGCTTCTGAACCACATGGTCAGGTGTACTCAACATCAGTGTCCACCCCTCACCTCCATCTGTATGAGTTAAGGTTCTCTAGAGGAACAGAATCAATAGTAAATATATGTATAATTATGTAAGAAGATTTATTAGGTAGGCTTACAGTAGAGGTGAAATCTACAGTGGCTGGCTAAGCATTAGAGAGCCAGAGGATCCAGCACAGCTGCTCAGCCGAAGAAGATGGAAGCTACAGAAACAGGAGGCATCAAGGATCAGTGCCAGTCCAGATCAAAAGCCAGTGAGTTCACTGGAAAGTGGCCAGTGTGAGCCTGCAAGGGAAGGCTAAAGAAACTGGAGATGCTTCAAGACTGGAACTCTTTAAAAGTGGCATGCATCTTTCCCTTTTTATTCCATCCAGGTTGCATCTAATTTGTGCCACCTACAAGTGGAGTGGGTCTCCCTCCATCAGTTTGCTGACTTACATGGCAGTCATCTACAGACACACCCAGAAATGTGCTTTATTGATCTGCTAGGCATTTCTTAATCTAGTCAAGTCAACATGTTGTGATTTTTTTTTTTTTTTGGTGTTGAGTTTTGAACTCCGGTCCTTGCACTTGCAAGGCAGGCCACCAAACCACTGAGCTAAATCCCCGGCCCAACATGTTGTGATTAAAGAGTCTGCATTAAAGATTCTTTTCTTGGCTTTTAGGTATGAGGATACCTATTAAGGCTAAGGTATGTGTTGTTAGAATTGTCTCTGCATGAGTGTAAGCCAGCAGGATTTTTTTTTTTCCCCCCTAAGGTGAGAAGTTCAAAGAATGTTTGGATAAATTCCTAAGGATGAATTTCAGCAAGGGTTGTCCACCAGTCTTCAATACTTTGCGGTCCTTATACAAAGATAAAGAAAAGGTAAAGCAAAATATATTTTCATTTAGCTACCATTTCTTTGCTCAGTGTTTGGGATGTTTGCTGATTATCTGTACCCAGCAGTGCATGTTTTGTGAATCTGCTATCAGTCATTCTAGCTTCAAGTTTAAGTGCTTCTATGCCTGTTTCTTCCTTTTTATTTTTTAACTTCTTTGTTTTCTTTTCTTTCTTTTTGCTATATACTGTAATGAGTCCATGTAGATTCTGAAAAGTTAGCAAGGTATCAATTTCTCCAACATTTTCTCTACTCTTTTTTTCTTATCAGTCGTCAGAAATTATTTTAAAATCCAAGTTTTAGCTTTCTCTGTTTTTATTTGTTAGAAAAAAATTCTATCAGACGGATTGTTTTCTGTCCCAGTAAGTCAACTTACTCTTTCAGCTAGCTATGTGTTATATAATATTCAAAAATGCATTTTTAGAGGCTATTTGAATCCTACTTTAGATTATTTAGACATCTTGTTTGGATTAAAAATAAATTAATTACATTGAAATTAATCAGAAAGATGGAACAAATTAAATATGTCTAACATTCAGTGTACATTTAATTGCCAGTCCGGAGAAGCCCAGGGTGTATGGGCTTTATTTTAAAGATTTCTCTCTTGTCACTTGAATAAATCACCTGTTATTTCTAGATTTGAAAAAGTGACAGTTTGGTGCTTGTGAAGTAGTTTTAAGTATAGAGCCCTACAATTCTATTTATACTTTTCTAATTTACACTTAAATTTGGCTTAAACTTTGAAATTTATCTTTGAATTTTTCCATCTTGTTCAACCTATGGAAATAGTTCTTGTTTTTCTAGTATCTTAAGCTTATATACTATGGAATTAAATTCTTCCACTATAATAGTTCCGCCTGTTGATAATAAATATGACTTACTAAAATAGAGTCAGAAACACAGAATTGAATTTTAGTAAGACTGTGGACTAATTTGTGGGAGGGTAGCACAGGACCTCCAGAATAATCTGCCTAAGGCCCTTCAGACTTCACAGTTTACTCAGAATTAGAAGCCAGTGTTGATGTGTTGAGTTGGTTAAGTGAAGTAGTTGTTTAAGAGAACTTCTATAGTAATAGAAATCCCTAAAACTAGATTAAGCAAAGACGGGAAATATTGTCTGCTTTGGTTTTTTATTTTTAATTTTTTGAGATGAGGTTTCATTGTATTACTCAGGCTGGCCTTGAACTCCTGAGCTCAAGCAGTCCAACTGTGTCAGCCTCCTAAGTAGCTGGAACAATCAGCATTTGCCACTGTGCTCAGCTTAAAAAATAGAATTATTGAAAAATTTCAGGCTTGCTCTCAAACCCTGGGGAAAATAGTATAGTCAAGATTCAGGGAAAATCACAACCTAGTGTGCTACTCATTCTTCTAGACCTCAGACACCCTACTGTTCTGTGATTCAGTTTTATTAATGGTTTCTCCTGGAATATGCAATTTAGAATTGTTTGCTACCATCTATTCATGGAAAATTATTTTTTCACATAATATTTAATTCTTGATTTTTAAAGAGCAGACATTAATCGTAGGCATTATTTATGTGATCTGAGATAAAAATGAATCAAGATATAAATCATGTACATCATTGCCTTGTTTAACCCTTTGCCGATTTCTTGTTCAGTTGATATTTTTTAGTGGAGAAAATTAGCTTATCAGTAAGCTTTTACTTATTTTTGTTATCAGTGAGCTTTTAAAAAACATATGTTTTAATGCATACTTCACAAATAGTTTAAAATTTTTACCCAGAGGTTGAAGAAATTTATAAAAATGTGTGCATGTGTTGGAGTGTTTAATCTTTTAGTAGTAAAATAAGACATTTTGCACAACGGTAACTATTTTTTCTATTAAAGTGTGCTTGTGTGTTTGTACTCTAGGTGGCAATCATAGAAGAATTAGTAGTAGGTTATGAAACCTCTCTAAAAAGCTGCCGTTTATTTAACCCCAATGGTAAGTGCTCAAATTTTTTTTTAAAAAATCTTGAAAATTTCAATACATTATGATTCTTAGGCTGTAGGACAGTATTACTTAGACAATAAGTATGGTGCATTTAAATATTTTCCCATTAGAATGGTGATCCAATAATTTGCATGTTGTGTAATGATACCTGATTCGAAGAGAATCACAGTATATTGGAAAAAACTTTTATATAAAGCTTAACATCTGTAAGATTAGATTTGAATGTTTTGCTAATGAAGAAACAGGTATCACTGTCAAAAGATTTGAAGCTGAAAAAAAGATAGATTTCATGATATAATGACCCTCCATTTACGCTTCATTTAACTTTAGTAAGTTTTGAATTCACGTCCAAATGTTTCATTGATAGTCTTTCTTACTTGCCTTTATTCCTATATTCCAAAGCAAATTCTAGACATCACGTCCTTTCATTGAGAGCATTGCAGTATTCTCCAGAGATAAGGAACTTAACTTAAAACATAAACATAATACCACTGTCACACTTGAAAATTAGTACTTTCTAATTATGAAATGTTGTGTCTTTTTTTTTTTTCGTACCGGGATTGAACTTGGGTCCTTGCGCTTGCAAGGCAGGCGGCAGAACCTCTGAGCTAAATCCCCGGCCTCCTTTAAGTTTGTTTGAATGATAATTCAATTGAAGTTTATGCTCTGAGCTTGGTTAATATGTCTCATAAGCTCCTATAATGCAGTGATTTCTCTTTCTCTCTTCAAATTATTTGTTGAAGAAGTTTTTCCCTTGTATTTTCTTTGTCTGGATCTTGCAGAATATACCATATGTTAATTATTATTTTTCTATCCTCTGAATTTTTTAAAAATTAATTTTATTGGTACATTTAATGTATGTAATATAATGACACTGTTGGAAATTTGTACCTTTATATAATCAGTCTTGGTATAGCCTCTGAATTTTATGTAAGGTGGTAGTTGGATGTGGAGTTGTATCTAGTGTTTTAGTATTAACCTTGGTAGCTAATTAACACAAAGATTCATAAAATATTTAGTTGCTTGGTTATAACACAATAACCAATGCTGCCATATTGGTCAGGACAAATATAAAACATTTCTGTTTCCAGATGTCGTAGTGTAACCTGTAATCCTAACACTTGTGTGAGGCCAGTTGGGCTATATAATACATTCAAGGCCAGCCTGGACTTAAAATAAGACTTTGTCTCAAAAAACAAGAATAAGTCGGCGATGTAGCTCAGCAGTACAGTGCCTGCCTGGCAAGTGCAAGGTCCTGAGTTCGATACCAGTACCAAAAAACCAATAGTAATAATAATAACATTTTAAAAATAGAACATTTGTTGTTATGGAATCTTCTAGTAAGTCTGACTAGAGCGTTCGTGAGATTACATTTTGTTGTTTTGCTTTTGTTTTTGTTTTTTTCAGTGTAAGGATGGTGAGCAAGATTATTTTATAGGTGGTGTATTCTTTCACCAGTAGACATATTGTTAATATCTTAAAAGGCAATTTTTTATTTCATCTGTTATTTGACTGTTACCTAGTATTTCCATTTGTGTAGGAAAAGCATGATAACACCTCCCTTTTTTGTAAGTTTTCAAAAGAATCACTTGATTCTTCTTTGAAGGTTCACTTTTCAGAGATGGCAAATAAATTTTTAAAGATGCTAATTTGGGTTTAAACAAACTTGCTATTTAAACTTCACATGGCTCCAGAATTCACATTCCATGGCAATATTTGATAGCTGTTTAATATGACAAGGTATTACAGTATATCTTATACACTGCCAGTGAAGATCAACAATCAGTTGTTTTTTCTAAGGACTTTTGGTTCCCATAGTGGGAAAGCCCAGTGTGGTAGAATCCAGAGTAGACACTGCTATTGTTTATTGTTTCTAGGTCTCAGGTTAATTTTGATAGTACTTTTTAGAAGGCGTTACTATGGTTTCATTGGTTAACCATCGTCATGTTCCTTTGGTTATCAGCATTTTCCTACATATTTTACAAATGTGGAAGAGGTTCAGTGACATGCCCAAGAATATGCAGCACTTTTGTTGCAGATCTGTTAGATCTGGAGTTGGTGAGTTCCACTCCTATTGTTTGTCCACTGAGCCATCCTGCTTTTACTAGGGGGAAAAAAGGCAATATATTGCTTTCTTTAAAAGCAAGTAGCATTTCTTAGATTGTAGAAATTAGTATTAAAATTTTTAAATGTGTGATTTGTATATTTAACTTACACATTTTCTTTTGTGTATATTAAATCATGAATTAAAATAGAGAATGTTTTTTCTAATTGTCATCTCATTTTTGGGGTATAGTTTTTACTCAGGCTAATTTATCTTTGTATATTTAACATAATATTACATTTTACTAAGATTACCATCAAAATTTCAAATAACCACATTATATATTTATGCACAATTTAGTACATTAAAACTCAAGCAATCCTTTTTTTAATCTCAGATTAATGAAAGAATTTATTTTAGGTCATCCTCCTACCTCCAGCCTCCTGACTCATACATTCTTCTAGTTTTAATACACCACCTTGCCCTGCAACATCCTTCTGGTTTTCTTTCTAGTTAGTTACAGGGTTGAGCCTATTTATTGGTCATATTTGTTATAAAAAGTTATATGCAAGGCATTATGCCAAGAGTCAGTGTGGGTATAGAATAGAAAACATGGTCCCTTTCAAAGATCTTACATTCTTAGTTGTATTTTTATAGCTGGGCACATCAATAACGTCTAATCTAATTTCCTTAAGGGGGGGCCATTTTGATCATGTACTCTTCATATCTGTAATGCCTAGTCTTGATTTCTTCCCTGTCTCCCCCACTCCTGCTTTGTAAAGATGATGGGAAGGAGGAGCCACCAACCACATTACTTTGGGTCCAGTACTACTTGGCGCAACACTATGACAAAATTGGTCAGCCATCTATTGCTCTGGAATATATAAATACTGCTATTGAGAGTACACCTACGTTGATAGAACTCTTTCTTGTGAAAGCTAAAATCTATAAGGTAAAAATCCCCCCATTTAAGGTAATTATATGTATCATAAATTTTTAGATATTTTATGGATTCTAAATATAAGAAAAATGACATGTATGATGCAAGAAAATGTGGAATAAAAAATACTTCTCAGTCTGATTTCCTCTAATGTTATTAGTCATAGCCATACTTGTTTGATTACCTAACTATACCTATATCTACACATGTGAGGCTATTCATGCATATATTCTCATGTATTTTTATATATCTGGTTATTCTCTTTGGTGAGTAAGAGTATGGTATTTACTATAAAGTATATTTTAATTAATAATTTAGTATGATCACAAATCAATATCTGATGAAGTGAAACTGCAAAGATTTCATTATTTTTTTGACTCTAGTTCCTGGGCTCTGCCTGAGACTCTCCAGTTAGATGTTCTGGCATCATCTTAAAATTGGCTCCTTTCTGTCTTGTTGAAAAAATTTAGTAAAGCTGTTGAGGGAATAGCTGTAAAGCAGTTTCGTTTAGCAAGAAAATTATGAAATTCATTATATTTTAAGTGGTAGTTTTGTGGTGGCATGTTGCTGGGGATTGAAAACAGGGCCTCAAGCATACTAGTTAGGTGCTTTGTGGCTAAGCTGCATCCCCAGCACTTTAAAAGCCAGGTTTTGCTCATTACTTTTGTAGCTGTGCTACTACTTAGATGAGTTTGAATGAGAATCATTGGTCTGATTGGATCACTAATGTTTCCAGGATTTTTTGGATAGAAAGTGGCCATCACTTTACCTATATTGAATTGTGTTGTTCTTAAAGGTTTATATTATTATTTATTCTTTAATTTGACAGTTTTTTGAGTGTTTACTATGTGCCAAGTACTGCTGTACACAAGATAGGTATAATGTTAAAACATCCTTGTTATCAGAGCCTACATTTTAGATGGCCAGAAAGATGTAAGAACTTAAAGAGGAATGCATGTTTCTGCATTGATTAGCATCTTCACATTCTGAATACCTTTTCTTTCATTTATTTTAATTACCAATGGGAAGAAAATGACCCATCCAACAAAAATTAACATATTTACTGGTTGCTTTGCTTTTGTGCTTTATAAGCATGCTGGGAATATTAAAGAAGCTGCAAGGTGGATGGATGAAGCCCAGGCCTTGGACACAGCAGATAGATTTATCAACTCCAAGTGTGCAAAATACATGCTAAAAGCCAGTCTGATTAAAGAGGCTGAAGAAATGTGCTCAAAGTTTACAAGGGTTTGTACAGCTAATGTTCTTATGAATAAATGAGACATAGCATACTTGTACCATGGTTCCTTTTCCTTTTTATTTTTATTTTTTTAAAATGGGGCCCACTGTATAGTTCAGGCTGGCCTTGAACTCATGGTGTAGCCCAGCCTGGTCTCCTGCCTCAAACACCCAAGTGATGGGATTACACGTGTGTGCCACCACATCCACCCCACCGTGATCTTTTTCAAATTTTCTTTTTAATATTTAGTATTAGAATAGATCTGTTTTTTAAAAATTATTTATTTATTTATTTTGATTTTTTGAGACAGGTTCTTGCCATGTAGTTCAGACTAGCCTTGAACTTAGAGCAGTCCTGCCTCAGCTTGCTGAGTGCTGGGATTACAGGTGTGTGCCACCATGCCTGGCTAGCCCAGAATTTAATTAAATCACTGTATTGGCAAAACTACAATCAACATTAGAATAAATCATTTTCTGTCTACATGGTTATGATTTGTAAATTCTGGTTTATATTGATGTATGTTTGGGGCAAGTTTTTCGAGGTTAAGAGAATTGATATTTATTAAATATCTGCTAAGTGCTAGTGTTCTTTCTTGCTCTTTTTGTTTTTTTGCAACAGAGTCTCGCTATGTAGTCCAAGCTCACCTTGAACTCAGTATATAGTCCAGGCTGGCCTCGAACTCATGACAATCTTCTTGCCTCAACTTTCCAAGTGCTGGGGTTACAGCCATGTACCCATAGACCCAGCCACTAGTGATGTTTTTTCTTACGTTATTTCATACTGCCCAATCAGTATACACCTTTTAATTAATCGTGGAAAAATCCTTACTCTTTTTAGTGTTTACAAAGAGAATTTTGATTTATTTTACTTATTCACTACTTTCTTTTACTATAAAAATGATTTTGGGGGGTACCTGGGATCGAACTCACAACCTTACACTGGCGAGGCAGGCATGGTGCCATTGAGCTAAATCCCTGGCCCTGTAAAAATGATTTAAGCACCAAAATAATATTTCAAAAGAATTTATATCAGTGGACTCTTTAAATTTGTGGTGGAATGATGTATTTGATAAGAAATGGACTTGAATGTATGTGATTTTTGTGTAGGAAGGAACATCAGCGGTAGAGAATTTGAATGAAATGCAGTGCATGTGGTTCCAGACAGAATGTGCCCAGGCATATAAAGCAATGAGTAAATTTGGTGAAGCACTTAAGAAATGTCATGAAATTGAGAGAGTAAGTACTTTATACATAATGGATTTCTCATATTTTATTAGACTTTGAGAGTTTTGGGCAAATTTTATACTTTTTTCTTTCATCATAAATCACACTTTTTAAATGAAGTATTTACTTTTTATAGTTTTATAATGGAAGTATATACTATATTTTCAGTAGGGTACTCATATATTCTTGTAACAATTTTTTTCAAAAACTTTATGGAAATTTTGTTTTATCCTTTGTTTTCAGTGACTTTGGTAACTTTTTTGGACATTGCTACTGCCTCTACAGTAGTACCTAAAATCTTAGTGCTACAATTTTGTCTCTCTCAGGCTGAGTGGTAATGCCATGTATTCTTACAACATCCAAGCCTTGAAGCTTCTCACATTGTTTTTGTTTTTTTGGGGTGTGTGTGTGTGTGTGTGTGTGTGTGTGTGTGTGTGTGTTTTGCAGTACTGGGGATTGACCTCAAGACCTTTGGCTTGGGCTTGTGAGGCAGGTACAGTGCCACTGAGCTAAATCCCCAGCCCTCACATTGTTTTTAGAGATGGCAGTTCTTAATTTTCTGGTAAAATAATTGTTTTCTTATTTCTCCTTACTTAAGGTTCATTTTTATCACTTGCAATGGTTTTTCCTTTCTTGTGTATTTTTCACAGATAAACATAGTTTGTATAACTAAGTTTACATATGTAGTATTGTCAAGTATAGAACACCAGTGATTGGTTGAAACATGGAAGATCCTGATTTCTCTCCCACACACCAGCCTGATATTGTATGGGGTTCTGATGTATAGCCTAAAAAAAAAAGGAAAGAAACCAAATAACTACATATCATAATCACTTGCAAATTGTTCTGAATAAAAATCTCAGTGTGTAATGTGAATCATCTGTATTACACAATTTTGTATACTAATAACTTACAGTTGATTTGTCAGAATGGCCTCGCTTAAGTATGCTTAAGAATGGAGTGTGGGGGCTGTGGATTTAGTTCAGTGGTTCCACTGCCAGTGTCACAAGCACAAGGTCCTGAGTTCAATCCCTGGTACCAAAAAAAAAAAGAATGGTGGGGGTGTGTGTAGCATTTGTGCTTTCCTTTTATTCAGTGAGTTTCAGTGCCTACGGTGCATCATATCCTTTGGGTGGTGTCCAGTTGCATTTGATATGCAAAGTATTTATATTAAATGACTGTAATATTTTTGTTTTACTAATTTTTGTGCCAAAGAGGCAAGTAATTCCAAGGATTTGATTTTTTTAGTTTTCTTAGACATTGCTATACTTCAATATAATAATAAAAAGATAATTTTGTTAGCATTTTATAGAAATCACTGATGACCAGTTTGACTTTCATACGTACTGTATGAGGAAGATTACCCTTAGATCATATGTGGACTTATTAAAACTAGAAGATGTACTTCGACAGCATCCATTTTACTTCAAGGCAGCAAGAATTGCTATCGAGATCTATTTGAAGCTTCATGACAACCCTCTTACTGATGAGAATAAAGAACATGAAGCTGATACAGGTATAACATTCAGTGATTTTTATGCTGTGATATTTGTGTATGCTTATGGTATTTGGTAATGTAATTCTTTCTGGGGTTTTTAATTGAGCATCTTGTGGGAAGATGGTACACAAAATCAGTAGATGATGGATGTTTTGCGAATTTAATTTCTCTAAGCAGCAGAAGAAAAATACTGCTTATTTTTATATTTTTTAAAACAAGTTAAAGATTTAGCAAAGCTTTAGATCCTTAGCATTTAAGAAGTTTGTAAGTTTCACATTTACTATCTAACTTACTCACCTGACTACAGTACTGTAAATTTCTAACTGCATAATTAGCATGGGAATACATTAGTGTTGGCCGCTAAGTAACTGGTCGTTCCTCTTTTTGAGGAGGAGTTTAGTTTAGTTTTGTTGTGTAGTATCTGAAATTGAACCTGCACTTTCATATTGACCTGCATCTCCAGCCCTTTTTATCATTTTTATTTTTATCTTGAAACAAGAGTCTAGGTCACGAAATTGCCTAGGCTGGGCTGAAACTTTTATTCAGCCTTCTCAAGTGCTGGGATTACAGGCATTCGTCACTGTGTCCATCCCTCTTTTTAGTAGTAGTTTGTAATTATCCTACTAAAAGATGAATATTGCTTGAGCATTAAATTCCACCTTGAAATTAAGCTAGGAAAATTATCAAGTGATTTATTATTTGATCCTTTTTTGCTTTTGAGACAGGGTCTCGCTGTGTAGCCCAGACTATCCTTGAACTCGCTATGTAGCCCAGGCTGGCCTCAAACCCTGCAATTCTCCTGCCTCAGCCTCCTCAATTGCTGGGATTACAGATGTGTGCCTCCATACCTGACTGCTTGCTTTTTGAGACAGGGTCTCACTGTGTAGTTCACACTGTTCTTAAACTCACCGTGTAGCCCAGGCTGACCTTGAACTCACATCAGTCCTCCTGCCTCCACCTCAGAGTGCTGGGATTCACAGGTGTGCACCACTATACCTGACCATTTGATCCATTTTTAAAATAGCATTTTCATAGTAAGGTATCAGGATTTCTAGAGAGAAATCTTCCCTAGACAGTTATTTGAGAAAGACTCTGAATTAAAGTTGTCTTGCATGGAGGATACAAATTAATTATATGTCTAAAGAGCTTGTGACTTACTCATTGCAAATCTATGGTGAGCAACTATGAGTCCTTTTAAGGCAGTGACAGATAATAAAGAATATGGTGACCAACTGAAGTCCATGGATCAAATCCACACTGCGGTCTTGTTTTGGTAATAATATTTTACTGACACATATAGAGCTGACTTTAGTTGCAAGCGACTCGTGACTTGCAAAGCTGAAAACACTTAGCATCATGACCATTGCAGAAAAAATATGCTGATCCTTGGTACGGTAGCATAATAAAACTTAGAGCTGGGATTTAGCTCAGTGGTTCAGCCGCCTGTCTCGCAAGTGCAGTGACCCAAGTTCAATCCCTGGTACCAAAAAAAGAGAGAAAAAACTTAGACTTTGCTGTCAGTGTGAAGGAGATTTAAGTGCTTCCTTTGACTTTTACTTTCACTATGAGTTGATATTTTTCAGAACTCTCCAACCTCAGTTTTCATATACTCATCCCCGAGTACCTTTGGGACTGGTTTCAGGACCCTCTTTAAGTGCTAAAATTCATGGATGCTCAAGCCTCTTCTATAAAATGGTGCAATGATAGGTATTTGCATAAAACCTATGTGCATTTGCCTGTATGTTCTAAATAATCTGTATTCCTTACAATAACTAATATGTTATAAATTGTATTATTTAGCTAGTACTAATAAGAAAAATAATCTACAGTGTTCAGTACCAACAGAATATCTTTCTGATTTTGGGGGGCAGTTCACTGTATAGTTCAGGCTGGCCTAGAACTCACTGTGTAGCCCAGAGTGAGCTCAACTCAATGATCCTCTGCCTCAGCCTCCCAAGTGCTAGGATTATAGGTATGTGCCACCCCACCCAGCTGTACAACTTTTTTTTTCTAATATTTTTGATCAGAAGTAGCTGAATCTGCAGTGTAAATGCTGAACCCATGGATATATATTAAACTAATCCATGAGGTTGTTGAGAAGATTATAAACAATGTGTATACTCTAGCTTGTAGAAAGAATGAAAATGGTGTAGCAGTTATTTTATAAGTCATTAAAAAGCACTTATTACCAGGCGTGGTGGCACACGCCTGTAATCCCAGCACTTGGGAGGCTGAGGCAGGATTGCTGTGAGTTCAAGACCAACCTGGGCTACATAGTGAGTTCCAGGTCAGTCTCAACTACCTAGTGAGACCCTGTCTCAAAAAATAAAAAACAACAAAAAAAAAAAACACTTTTTTAGCCTTGTATTCATAGTCTTGAGTTTTCAGCATGTGATTTTTTTTCACCATGTGAAATTTTCTCTTTACTGTTAAGGAATTCTTCGTCTGGGCGTATACACCAGTGTGAAAGCTCTGGGATCAATTCCCAAAGGCAGAAAAGTTGGGGAAAGGGTGCATTCTTTACCAGGAACAAGAAAAACAGATATATATTTGGTTTTGGCAGTTGTACATTTATTGCTGGATATTAAATCATACCCAGATCCCACTTTTAAAAATTATTTCTGTGGGTCAGAAATTGAGGAGTTCTAGCTTAGGGTCTCTTTTCTTTTGGTACCAGGGATCGAACTCGGGTCTTTGAGCTTGTGAGGCAGGCAGCAGAACCACTGAGCTAAAATCCCTGGCCCAGGATCTCTTTTAAAGTCACAGTTAAGATTGTTGGGGCTGAGCCTGCAGTGTTTTAACTAGGACCCAAAGGTCTAGGTGACTCGCTCATGTCTGGCTGTGCCAAGAGGCTCTAATTTTTTAGTTTTTCTGTAGTTTCTAGAGTTCCTCAGAATGTAATAGCTAGCCATGGGAGAGGAAAGGCAAAGCCACACAAGTTTTTAGTGTTTCCTATTCTTTTTTTTCTTTTTTTGAAACAGGGTCTCACTATATAGTTCAGACTGCTCTGGAACTCACTGTGTAGCCCAGGCTGGTCTCGAACTCACAGCGATCCTCCTGCCTCACCCTCCCAAGTGCTGGGATTACAGGCATGAACCATGATGCCTGGCTAATGTTTCATATTCTTGATGTGAAATCCTATTACTTTTTTCCATCCTGATTAGTCAGAAGAAAGTCACCTTGTGCAACTTATACTTAAGCAAAAAAGAACTGAAGAATATTTGGGCATATTTTTAGCTGCCACAGTGTACATTTAACTACAAATAGTTTTTATTTATTTATCTTTTTTTTTTTTTTTTTTTTTTTTTTTTTAAGGGTT